GATAATAATTTCCCACAAGGAGTGTAACGAGACTGATCACTCGAAAGTAATCATCCCAATGAAAAGAGCGACTGTTGAAAAATACTTAGCCCCGATGGTTGCAAGAACCATGTCCATGCCTCAGACTGTGGCAGACAGTGCAACATCCATCCTTCAGCGATGCGAAGGTGAAGACCGTTCCTGAGGTCGAAACATAGAGTCTCTTTACCAGTTTGTTTGTCTGCAGTGCCTGGCGAGATCTAAACTAAGGACACTCAAAAATGGGCAACCATGAAGTAGTAACGTCAGTCGCGCCATCCCAATCGATCAATGACAGACAATAACCGCTGGGTTAGTACAAAGCGCGAGTTAGGCATCTTACAACCAACGGAGAAACAGCTACCACGCAATGCCAATTATCTGATACACCAAGGCGCATCTGAACGGGGCTTGGTGAGGTTGATGAAGCAACAGCTGTTTCAGCCTGGAATTGGTGATTCCGTTTAGACTCCGAGGCAATGAAGATTGATAACTCGACACTGTACTCCTACAGCAGTCTTCTACATCGCCTTCAATGGATTTTCTTAAGATATCTTCCCAACTTTTGTTATCGTCACAATGATATCCAAGATACTCAACTTCTTAATACATCGATGATGGCATTCTGACTTACTGACCAATCAGATTCCGTGTGTCCCTTGCGGGGTTGGTGACTAAATGCCAACAATAGCATCAAGAACACAGCCATAGTGGTAATAAAGGTCAATGGCATATTTCGTTCGACTGAATGAGAACGGGTGGACCACTCAGCTCGTTCCAAGCGCACTTCCAACGCGTACGTCGCCCAGGTTCCTAGCGGAGTGCCCGACTGACTGCCACAGCTGTCAGCGATGTCGAGCTCGCAAGGTCAAATGTTCCGGCACGCAGCCGTGTGACAAGTGTCGCAATCGGAAGCAGGATTGTGTGTTTGAGGAAGATCGGAAGATTGTAGTTTCTGAAGAGTATGTCGAGGAAGACCAGCATGATATCTGGTTCTAACAGAGATTGAGGTTGTTTCTTTCTCTCAAGAGAAAAGTGAGCGAACTAGAAGGCTCGCTTATATCAACCCCGTCAAAGCGGCCTCGTGTCTTCCAGAGTCATGCCAGTCATTCTGAGTCTAGCTGCTCCAAAGATGCGCCGCAGTCAGTCGCTGAACCATGCGGACTCGCTACGCCTGAGCAGCAGGAGTTGAATCGACACGATGAGCGATTCGCCTCCAATCCCTTGGTATCACCATCCACCTACGTGAAGAACAGCGGACGCACACAACGGGCCTGGTGTATGTTATTGACCTGGAAGTAAGAATCCCGCTAATGGTCGACTATCAGTACTTCTCGGTCCTACCTCGACATGGTCGTTCAGTCGTCGGGTCCTCAGCACAATCCAGACCCGAATTAACCCTACAAGCACCAAACCGATTCCTCTAGCCGTCGACGGCGATGCCTATCAGATTCACTGGCGTCAGGTTAGCTCCGAAGAGATCCCAGATATAAGCGGACTCCCTTCTCGTGATCAAGCAATCTACATGGTCAACACGGTCCGCTTCCATTTCGGCCATCTGTATCAGCTCTTTGATGAGGAGGACTTCACCCGTAACTTGGACGAGTTCTATCATAACGCATCCGCAAAGGTCCAGGAATCCAGGCTGTGGTACGTGCAGTTTCTCGTCGTGCTGGCGTTCGGAGAGGCATTGTTGGCGCCGGTGCGAAGGGCATCAAAGACTGCATCATGGACAAAATACTACTCCCGAGCGATGTCACTGTTGCCGGATACCACGGCGCTCTGGCAGGATCCGCTGCTAGCCATCGAGGTTCTGGCGCTGATTGCGCTGTATCTTCACTCGGTGGATATGCGGGACTCGGCCTACTGCTATGTATGCATTTGCCACTTCATGATCGATGGACGACGACTGACGAGCGCAGATCGGTCATGCCATGCGTATGGCTCTGGTGGAAGGGTTGCATCGTGCTCTTCCAGTCGAGCAACTTGGCCAGAAACGCGTCGAACGGTGTACCAAGGTCTGGTGGACGGTATACATTCTCGACCGCAAGTTCTCTTCGTTGATCGGGGCGCCGACTTCGATCAATGACGAGGACGTAACCACAGTCCTGTGGGATCCGAAGAGCTGCTCCCAAGAGACAGCAGCTTTGAGCCTTCATGTGAAGATCACGCAGGTTATCACCCGGGTGTTGAATAGTAAGTGACTTCCAGCTGGTAAGCACAGGCTGACGTTGCCACAGCGGTGTACAGTGCCAACGGAAAGTCGGGCGGCGTCTTCCTCCACGGAATTCGCTCCATATTACATGAGATGACCGATGTATCACGGGAATTGGAGGAGGTTTTCGCTCATCGATTCTCGAGTTCAGTGGATACTCTTTCCGGAGTGACCACTCGCTTGACACTTTCATGTCATTCGGTGGGTGACATTTCTTCGATCAAGACCCAGTTGGCTGATGGGAACAGTGCATTATCGTCACCGCTCGTCCTCTCATCCTGAGTTTGCTCTGGGAACGACTAAGCTGCTTTGAAGAGGGCGACGTCTTCCGAAGTCTATCTTCGCCCGTTTGGACCCTAATCCAAGCGTGTATCGATTCAGCACTCAAATCATTAAAGATTCTAACGGCCCTGCGAGACCAGAATCTCCTTGGTTAGTCCCAATCGCCCTGACTGGTGCGTGCCCTGACAGCAAGACAGAAAGTTTTCTCCCGTTCGACCTCGAGAACCTCTTCTCGTCCTTCTTTATTCTCTCCTTGATCTCCGCCGTCTTGCCCGGCACAGTATTAGACCACAGTTACCGCGATATGGGCTTCAGTCTGTTAGACGAGATGATCGCCAGAGGAAACCGCGTCGCACAACTTCGAAGATCGGAGATTGAGCTTCCGGAAGAGTTGGTGCAACCACTAATGCGGCCAGAGACCCCTCACCGCGAAGAGACGCGGGAATTCCACTGATTGAGTCAATCAATGGAAGGAGTTCTGTGGTTCCCACAGGAGCACAGGAGGAGGAGCTCCTTTTTGACTGGCGGGATTTTGGACTATCATTGAATCATATGCTTTCGGCGACGGATGAGCTGAATGCGAACAGCTTGGTTCCTGGGGCAGAGGATGAGGAGTTACCGGCTGACTTGTGGTTGTGGGGTGATGGTTAGCTTAATTTTCCTTTCTCTCAATGAGAATCGAGCATCGGCATTCGAAATTCGATACTGATCTCTGTCGTGCTGTGAGATATCGTAATGTCGATTTTTCTAGGCTGTATTACTTTATTAATGGCGCTATTGCTCCTTGTCTGATACAGCGGCAACGTACGGTCTGCCGAACGACCGTGTCTTAATGTCTTAGAACAGCCTTTCTTATGAAAATAGGTATCAAACGCAACCTCTTTATCTGAGTGTCCATATCTAACCCATACTTGCTACCATTTGATAATTTTAAACGTCCTAGCAGCACGCAATGTATGAAAACGTGATGCGCATGGCGCCGGGCACGGAGATCGTCAAACATGACACTGAAATTAGTATAAATGGGCCTGCAATGACAGACCTATCTAACTTTTCTGCTCCGTAAGTAGATTCGTAATTGGAAGACCTACGTATGCAGATACGTAGATTCGGACATTGGCCCGGATCTTCAGAATTACAGCGGCTTTTTTTCTGCCTCAGTTGCCGATTGAATTGATCTCCCGTACATGAAAATGCTTGTCATTTAACCATGATGAACATGTAAGAATCGTCCCTCCCATGAAAGCTGTCCATAATGTAAAGCCGTGGCTACGTCCGAAATGTACTTGATTCAGCAGCGCATTGTGCATGCGTATCTCGAGTGCAACGCTTCTCAACACTGATTGTTTTCCGCATCATCGACAATTTGCGTGCCTGGCCTAGAATAGTAGTCAATAGCACCAAGCATTCGTCATCCCGATCTAGAGTTTTGCTTAAAGCCAGTGGCTGCTGTTAGCGTGTCGAAGGCGTTCATTAGAGCCGTTGTATACGTAAGTGAAGGGATCCACTCCCAATTTCCTCTTTGAAGAAATGGGACAATTTCATCCCTCATTATTGTATACTTAAGACGTGTAAACTGATATTTGTTGCATTGAGGAGAGTATAATCCAGGTGGAAAGATGCTCTTATAGGTTGAAAGTCGATGTAGTGTGGTATATGAAGGGCAGTTGCGTACGAAGGGCGCCATAGGTGGAAGGGAGTGAAGAGGACTACGAGGGCGACAGTATCGATTGTTATTCTTTCCAGTGTCAAACGGATACAATTCATAGAATCTAGGCCTCTGGTCGAATTTTAGCCTACTTGGAAATCCCACCGTCCTGCCATAAGGTTACGCCCGGAGATGCCACTGCAAGACAAAAGATGGTAATGCTGCTGTATAGATACCAGCCACGAATCAGGGCAATCCTACTGCATAACCACATTGAAGATTCAAGATCTTTTTATTGTTCCATTGCCAACTCCTGGTTCTGAGTGGCCGAGAATGTTGACGACGCAAGGAGGGCCCGCTTACGTAGGGACGGCATGTTAGTTCCAGGATGACTATCAACAATCAACAAGCCTAGGTCCAGAACGCGCAGACTATATCAATTCAGCTAGTCAGTCGTCTAAACGCTGGTAGGTTCTGGATGGGATGGGCTAATTTGCTTCATATTCTGTAATCCATAGGGTTTGACCCGAGTGGACTGTTGATGAGTACCAACAGACTAGACAAGCGTCTGTGCAATATGTCTGCTTCTCTTGGGCGCTGACGATACACTCTTGGCCATACGTCTTACCTATAGTCGTTAAGGTCTTTGGTCTTTGGCGCTGGTCCCACTTGGCGAGGTTCAGGAGTCTTCATCCGACAGTCATTCATTCATATATCGCATCCAACGCTCTTTTTCACGGGATCACCATCGCTGCCACTCCTTTGATTGTTTTACACCAAGTCTATCAAGCATTAGTCACTCCTTTCTATAAGCAGAGCTAGATTTACCTATTCGCCATGAAGTGGGAGTCGTTCCTTTTGACAGCCATCACCGCTGGCTCGGCCATGGCTGGGGCCCATCATACACAGGAGCATTCTCATCGTCGTCAGCGTCTTGCTCACAATGCAGAATTGAAGGCTAGGCAGATTGACGCCCATGCCAACCTGGCGATCAGCACCAAGACTATCGTCAACCTCGAGGTTGTCACCATGTACACCACTATCACGCGACATGCTCCTGCCCACGAGCCAACTACCACCGTTGCAGCCACAGAGACTTCCATTGCTGACAGCCAGCCTCTCGCAAGCGTCAACCTCGACGTCTCTGTGAACCTTCTGGATATTCTTCCGGCCACCACCAGCACAGCCACTACATTTAGTACCAGCACGAGCTCGAGCACTAGCACCAGCAGCGCCAGCTGGACCTCCACCCCTTCAAATGGCGTGTACTCGACCGCTGGCTTCGGCCAACGCACCAACTCCACCGGCTCCGGAATTGAGTACACCGGGAATGTCGGCAGCCCCTGGGGCAGCAACATCATCGAGGTGACAGCCTCGACGGCCTCACAGTACAAGTACGTCGTGAAGTTTACAGGTAGCAACACCAACGACTGGTTCGTCTCATTCTGGAATAAGATGGGCCCCGACGGCAAGCTGGACGGGTGGTACGGCCACTCGGCGCTCAATTTCACCCTTGCGGCTGGCGCGACCAAGTACGTGGCCTTTGATGAGAACTCGCAGGGAGGGTGGGGTGCCGCCGAGGGCGACTCGCTGCCGACGGACGAGTACGGCGGTTACGCCTGTACGTGGGGCGAATTCGATTTTGGGAATACCGATAACGCTGAGTGGTCTGGGTGGGATGTGTCTGCCATCCAGGCGCAGAAGGCGGGTCTGACGGTGCAGGGGATGAGGATCTGTGATTATAATGGGGAGGATTGCTCGTATATCACGACTACAGCCGCCAATGTGGTGAATGCGTACACGGCGGCGGAGGCGTCTGTTGACGGTATCGGGGGTAGTGTGAGTGCCGGCGCGGTGAGATTGGTGGCAGAGGTTGATTACAGCGGTTGAGCTATTCGACCTCGACTGTACATACACGGTTTGATTGGGTAAATAGATTTCGAGTGTATACATTGATCTATCTTGCTTCTGGATAGCCCTTCATTTTGCCCGCGCAAACCTGTTCACTCTAAAGAGGGAACGGCTGGATAACTGATGGTATTCAAAGCTGTCTACAAAGACAGAAGAAAGGACTGCGCTGAACGAGGTGGATTAGGCGAGATAAGCGAGTTATAACCTTCCACTCTACGAGCTCGACATGGCGGGAATGGTGATGCTCGCAATCGTCCACACCTTTCCGCCCTCGCTCGAGCTCAAGCCAGAATACGTCGCACCGGCAGCCGAAGCAATGGTGTTGCCAAAGGTAGTGTCGGCCGACGCCAGAGTGATCTTCGTGTTGAGGTACTTTTGCTCTGCAACAGTGCCCGTGCAGCCACCGTCACACTCAGTTCCAGTGCCGTATCTACTCGGTCAGCATCATCTCTATAATTTCGGAGAAAACAACTCACCCAGTCATATAAGGTCCAGACTTGTGCGAGTATGTCGACAGAACCTTGCCCGTCTGCGCATTGGTAACATTTCTATCCCCATTAGCCAACATCCGTACAGTGAGTGTGCATACTTACTGCACCCAGGTCTCCTGATCATCCAACAAAGTATACTCGATGCGAACCTGATCCGTTCCGCTCACCGGGCTGGCATCCCCATCCAACTGTCCAAAACTACCGAACACACTGGCCCTTACACACCATTGTCCCGTCGTGGCACCGCACCAGGCATTGTCGGGCCAACTTTCCAACGTGGTCTGGACGAGATCGCCGGTGCCGTTGCTCATCCCGGGCCAGAGGAAGAGCTCGCCGCTTTGAGTTGCAGGCGCCGCACCAGGGATGAGGGTGGTGACGGCGTTGACGATGGTGGATTTGGTAGGACCGAGAGAGACGCTGCCGCCCCAGCTATCTTCACGTTTGATGACGGAGGCGGACAGTCCCAGGGCAGGGAGGAGGAGGCCGAGAACGAGCTTCATTACGATGGTACGAAGAGAGTCAACTGTTAAGCACTGAAAGATTGGTTCTTGATGGCTTTGATTTGACGTGCAGAACTGGGCTTTATGTGTTCCTACGACCACTTCAGGGGCACAAAGAATGCCTCTTCGCAATCTATTCGAGAGCAGGTCAGACTCCAGGAAATCATCTTGAAACGAGTCATACAGCCCCTGGTGCATGTAAATTCTCCACCACTAACTTGTCTTGCTAACTTGGCTTGTTTAAGCTCAAACTTGACAGGGGTGAAACACCGGAAAATTCTTCAGTTCATATTCAATATCACGCCAATGTCGATTGGCGTCCAGTTTTAGTCATTCTTCTCAGCACTCGTGGACCGTTTTTCCGTCCTGGGGGAACTATTACCCTACAGTCTCAGGTGAAGTCTCCGTGTTTTGGAGAGCCTGCCGGGCATACGCCGATGTATGGCGACAGTGTCATAGCTTTAATATTCAAGGCCAAGGTATTTTGGCACTGCCATACTTTGGCAGGATATCGCTCACTCGTTAGGATCACACATGGCTGGCATATCCGGATACATACGGTCACGTCCCGAGATACACAAACAGAGACGATACGGAGCCAGTACGGAATAGCCTAGTTCCAGAGTTTTGATACACAGGGGAGTATAGTCTCTTTTCAAATAAACATACGAGTACGCGGATCATGCCATGCCCCGTTGTTTCGTCATGGACTCATGAATCATGATTTCCATGGTATCCACCTAACCTCTTTTGGCTGCTCGTAGATTTTGCTTGATAGAACCAAAAAATGAACGACCGTTTATCTCAACGAGCTCGCATAGCTCAGTTGGTAGAGCGCATGACTAGTAATCATGAGGTCAGCGGTTCAAATCCGCTTGTGAGCATTTTTTTCGACTCTTGTTTTTGTTTCATCATGATGGTTCGGATGCGAGTCACCCCTTTCTTTTCTTTATTTCTTTTACCCTAGGGGTTATAAGAGTCGTACAACTGAGAGAGTTTATATCTCATATGGATGTGCACTTACGGTGTGCACGTAAGGAACGCCAAAGGCATCATCAACCCAAGACAAGAGCAGTCTATTTTAAGGTGCAGCCTATTTATATATCACTGCAGTATTCCATTGAACATCAGCCATCACCAATTACAGAGATTTATATCATTGCCTTGAATCAGAAGGATAAAGAATGGGACAGTGACTGAGTTACTGACTAGGTGATCAAACTTGATTCACTTCTGCCTGCAACCAACGTATTGAGGCGATGCCCACGGTCGGCAGCACAGCCATAGCCTCTCGCACCGAATCATCACGCACCATTGGGGCAAGTGGGTTGGCTCTCCACGCTTATTATTGCTTGTCTGTTATCAAATCTATGTCTGTTCCAAGCAGCTGCAGATGATGTCGATGGCTTTATCCTTCTGCCTGAAGCCAATGATCGGCATCAGTCTATATAACTCTCCGTTCCTCGAGCAAAGGAATATCAACGTCAACAAAGACCAGCTCATCCAAAATGCCCTCGACAGCAGATAACACCAAAACTACATCCCCTTCTCCTTCAAGCCCCGGGACAAAAAAGTCCCTAACACAGAATAAAGCATGGATCTACGGCAAAAAAGGCTTCGACAAGGCCTGGGACGCCCTGGATAAAGTCGGCGCCCCCGTGAACCGGCTAAGCAACAAACTCGGCTCCGAAGCCTTCTGGCCCATGACACTGGACAAAGAAAGCGAAAAGGCCTCTCGTATCCTGCGCAGTTTCTGCAAGGAAGGAGTATCTGTTGCCGACGATGCGACCGTGGCAACCCGGGAACAGACACCCGACGCGAAGATCGACAAACCACGGGGTAAACCCAAGGTTTTGCAGAAGATTCCTGCGGAGGTGATCCGCCAGGCCAAGGGGATCGCCATCTTCACAGCCATGAGGACGGGACTGTGGTTCAGCGGAGCTGGTGGGAGTGGGATCCTCATCGCTCGCGTACCCGAGACGGGAGAATGGAGTGCGCCTTCGGGGATATTGCTGCATACCGCTGGCCTTGGGTTCCTGGCTGGCATAGACATCTACGACTGTGTCATGGTCATCAACACGTACGAGGCGTTGGAAGCGTTCACCAAAGTGCGGGTGACGCTGGGAAGCGAGATCTCCGTCGCGGCTGGGCCGGTGGGAATGGGAGGGGTGCTGGAGTCGGAAGTACACAAACGACAGGCTCCCATCTGGTTGTACGTCAAGAGTCGCGGCTTCTACGCCGGGGCGCAGATTGACGGGACGATTCTGATCGAGCGCAACGACGAGAATGAGCGGTTTTATGGTCGCAAGGTGCCTGTCAAGGAGATCATGGCTGGTCACGTGCAGACGGACAACGCGTCTGTCAGGATGTTGACGCATACTCTTCATTCGGCGCAGGGCGACAAGCAGTTTGACCAGACTCCGACTGGCGTTGCTGTACCGACAGGGCCGAGTCCAAGCGATTTTGCGCCCGAGGATCTGACGAATTCGAATCTGATGGCACACGGGGCATTGGCCGCTCAGGATCAGACGGCTACCGACAAACAGTTTGACCAGACTCCGTCTGGTGTTGCTGTACCGACAGGACCGAGCCCAAGTGATTTCGCGCCCGAGGATCTGGCGAATTCGAATCTGATGGCGCATGGAGCATTGGCCGCTCCGGATCAGACGGCTACCGAAACTCCTGCTCCCGTCACCGACCGTTCCGTACCCTTGGATGGCTCCCAGAGCGAGGAGGCCGTTGCTGCGCAGATGGAGAGCATGGGGTTTGCTAGAATTGATATCGATCGGGCCATGAGAGCGGCGTCCTTCAACCCCGATCGCGCCGTGGAGTATCTGCTAAATGTAAGCTGACCAGCCCTAGTGCATTTCGCTCGACTAACTGATGATTTTCCAGGGGATCCCCGATGATGACCATCCTGAGCAGCAGCAACAGCCGGCCGGTGGTGCCGCGACAGATCATCCCGAGCATCCAGCTCCTCCTCTTCCCCCCAGACTTCACTAATGCCGCTTAATTTATGATGAAGCCATGAATCTGCATATAGACATTTGAATCCTTTATTTGACCTCTGCATACTTTTCCAAAGCACGATGTAACTCTCCCCATAATCCATCATGCCAACTGAGCAACTGCTCCCACTCCTCTATCGTCTTTCTGTAAAACTTCAACCAGCTACCTACAATGAAATCGGCATATGTAGGCGTATCACCCTCAAGAAACGGGCCTTCCGTTCGGCGGTACGCCTTTGCCAGCTCTCCCAGCGCACTCTGGAAGCTCTCGAGCATCCGCGCCCTCTCCTCGCCTGTGATCATCAGATCCTCATAGCGCTCTTTGCCCGCTCGCTTGGCAAACGTCGCTTTAGACTCCTCCGCTGTTGCAGGATTGAAAGGCATCCCCTGGACACACAGAGCGCAATGCTGAGTGAAGAGAGCATCGACCTGGGAATTGAACGCAGAGATAAGCCCAACAGTCGAAGGAGGGAATAATCTCGGCCCCTCGGGGTAGAGTCTGTCAAGGTACTGCGCAATCTCAAATGAGTCGCCCACAAGTTCGCCAGTCGAGTTGTTTCTGATGATTGGAAGGGTGTAGAAGGGACTGCCGTCGGGGAGGACTCTGTTGGCTGGGAGGCCGAGTCTCTTGCGCACGGTGGGCACTTCGGGCAGTTCTACCCATTCTGTTTGATAGTGGGCTTGTTTAAAGTTGAGGGCGTATCTGTTGCATCTTAGCTAATGTGCTTATCGGTAGTGAATGTGACGTACCTTGTTTTCCAGGGATTCGGCGCATAGCAAGTGACTGGTGGGGCGGAGGCAATATCATAGAAGAGAATAGCAGGCTTGGAACTGGATTCCATTATGGCGATCTGATAAGATGCGGACCGTGTACTCTGTAGTAGATGTATTTGACGGGCTGAACCAGAAGAACCAGCTTCAATGATCAATAGAAGGATGAATGGTGTGATTAAGGTCGAAGATGGTGAAATCTACCATCTTTATATACAAGACTTCAACCGTCGTTGCTCTATTCTTGATTGATTGATTTCTGAATAGCATAACTTGCACGGATCATAACGGATCATAATGAGCCAAGATGACTCATGCTTGGCATTTTGCTGTCCTAATGCAGTTAGACTCTGTCTGCTGGACGCTAAAATACATGAAATCTCCTCCATTTGGATTTGGCTGCAGTTTTAGTCTCATGCACAGCAGCAACAGAAAAATATGGAGATCAGAAAGTTGAATCTTATGATATTCTAATTCTTCTCTCGCTGGCCACTCTCCACTGAATAGCGGAGCAGAGCTCGTACAGAACAGACAAGATAGGTGTAGAAACGCCTCGTTTCTGTGCCTCGCGAACCACCTCGCCGATCAGATTCTCGTGCTCAAGTAGATTGCCCTACGATTGTGAGCCCACAAAGCTAATCGAGGGATAAGTATGCACATACCTTTTGCATATCTTTTTGCATGCTAGGAGCAATCTTCCTCTCCATCGGGTTCTTACGAATCGTTGTCTCGATGATATCATCTGGTAGTTCAATCCCCACGGCCTGAGATACTTTCACCACCTCCTGCATCGCAGGAATTACCAAGCGATCAAGAGCACTCCCTGCAATCTGTAAATCGCCCGTATTGACCCCAGTCAGCGCGCAGATGGGATTCAAGGTCGCATTGTACACCAGCTTGCTCCAGCGATCTCGCTCCCAGTTTGGCTCATATCGCACGTTAGTCTTGCCTCCCGCACCGTAGATATGCACAAATTGCTCCGCAGCCTTTTGCTGGGTATCCTGGTCGAGAAGCGGGTTGCGAAAGGCGCCAATGTGGAGGTCATCTTCCTCTTTCTGTTTGATCACTCCGTGCGCGATTTCGTGAGCGTCGCATCGGCTCACCCCGGAGAGAACGACGTTCTGCGGGAATCGAGAGAGGAATGGTTTTTCAATGTTCAATCCATTCTGAATGAGAACAATCACTGTATGGCCCGGAGTCACTGCCGGGGCGATTGTCTCGCATATAGAAGGCGTGACGTCCGGGATGTTCTTGGTGGTACAGACAATATAGTCGAAGAGGGTACTACGGTCCTCTTTACGGACGTGAGGAACCGCATTTAGGACTGTAATGCTCTGTCAGCCACGCCATGTCATTCTGTAAAAGGAGGGGCGCAAACCTGTAGTCGGCCGCCAGTTATGTATATGACCGTGTTCGCACGAGAGAATTTCAATTCCTTTGCTTACGACCGCTTCATAGTTAGACCGCAGGACACAGGTGACTTCGGCTAACCCTCCGCGCTCAAGATTGAGTGCGGCAATGGTACCAATTCCTCCAGTTCCAACCAAGAGCACGCGGGCCTTTGGAGGCATAGTCAGCGGTGTTTAGTGACTTCCTGTTGCGAGTTTGAAGTAGTCACTGATACCAAGCTTTATGTCTGGAGTATCCTTGAGTGTACGGTGATCACCTTTCCTCCCGGAGATGATAGTGCTTTACCCCCCTTGTGAGTCACAGGTAGGCTATATCAAGGAAAGCCTCGGCGGTGGGGTTGTCATCGATTAAGCTAAGGTATAGGAAAGCGATCCCAACTCTATCCCATTCAAGCGTTTGTCACACATTTTACCCCTGTACCTCTCGATTCTAAATGGTATTAGGGCTTCCCCGCGACCTGACGTCATATCGGAGATGCGCCGATCCATCATGCTGCTCATTGCCTAAAGAGTCACAATCCCCTGGCTGGGGGAGGGGTTGAATCGATGGGAGATTAAAAAATTAATTCAATTGATTCCTTCAGATCACCCGCTCCAAGATTGACAAGTCCGCAACATTCCTGCCCACAATGGCTTTTGCTCGCAGATTAGCTATCCTCCCTGGAGGTCTAGGTATACTGATAGACACTTCGATACCAGCAAACAATGTATATTGACACAAATATCCTGCGTAGGCGGCCTGGGCTCCAGCATAGGCAAGAAGCTCAGAGAACAAGGCGCTCACCTCGCCATTCTCTATGCCCCATTCGAAGCTGCCCGCCGAGAAGAGCTTCTCAGATCCGGCTATGGAGGAGTTTCCAGCGACGCAATTCATACCTATGAATGCGATATTACCTCCCCAGCATCAGTCGAGTCTGCCTTTGGCGCCCTGGAACGGGAAATGATCAGACCCTCGTCATCAATCCAGAGCGACGCTGCCTTTCCGAGCATCCTCATCAACACCGCCGGATATGTCTCGCTTAGTGACATGGAGATGACTCCCCCTGAGGAGACCATGAGACATCTAACCACCAACGTCCTTGGGCCAATGCTCTGCTCGCAGGCCTTTGCACGACTCTACTTTGCCGCCTCTAAGGCTGCAGAACAATCCCCGAATCCCCTTCCACCAGGTCGGATTGTCAATATTGCATCGCAGGCTGCGCATGTGGCACTGCCGCGACATGGGGCATACTGCGCTTCCAAGGCTGCCTTGCTAGGATTGACTCGCAGTATGGCATCAGAATGGGGAGGACGAGGTATCACCGCCAACTCCGTATCGCCGACAGTGGCGTGGACGGCTCTCGGGAAGAAGGCTTGGGGGGAGGAGTCGGTGCGGGAGACCTTTTTGAAGACTATTCCCACTGGCAGGTTCGCGCTTCCTGAGGAAGTTGCGGATGCTGTTGTCTTTCTTTGCCAGGTAGGTCTTTCATAGAAACTTGAAGCGACGTGATGCTGATTGAGGTATAGGATTCGAGCGGCATGGTCAATGGTGCGGATATCAGAGTTGATGGCGGCTTTACCATTCAATGATCGCTTGGAATATGTCGCGTATGTCTGATCAGGTTATTTTATGAGGTAAAATTAGGCTTGGAGTTCTTTATATGTTATTATGATGCTAGACATAGAGTATATTCCATGAGTCCGTTATATTTAGATCCTTATCAACTGCTATCCCACCGCATCGGTCTATTTCTTCTAGCAGGAAACGTCTCATGGAGATGGAGTAGTCCGTCTGAGCAGTCCGAGTAGGCAGCCGAGGAGCTTTGGCTTTGTTGGGGCAGCCATCATTGAATTCAAGGGTACTCGTATTGGTCAATTGGTGACTCATAGATAAGAACTTGGAGGAGATTCAAAGATTAAAGGCAAGTTATTGTTTCCTGACAGTACAAAGTTGTCTACGCTGCCAATTCGTCAAAATCAGCGTGATTATCCTGGTTCCTGCACATATCTACATAGATGATGACGATTTGCCACAGCCAGAAGCCCAGAACCATTAACTGCCATCTATATCCACACTAGCAGCAGAGTCTTCCAAAGACTCTATAACGCAGGTTGAATGACAACAACAATGCTCATCATATCCGCTACTCTTGACCATCCAGAGGTCCAACGCCTACTCCACCACCATTTCACTGAGCTTCGAAGCCAAGGTCGCCCTGAGACATCTTTTGTGCTGGACCTAACCGCTTTCCGGAACCCGTCAATTACTTTGTATACCGCCTGGCAGGGTGCTAGTCTATTAGGCTGCGGCGCGTTGAAAGAACTCAGTCCAACACATGGAGAGATCAAATCGATGCGGACAGCGCAGGGACACTTGCGGAAAGGCGTTGCCAAGGCTATTTTGAAGCACATCATTGCCGAAGCGAGGGAGAGGAAGTACCACTCGTTGAGTCTGGAGACGGGGACGGACGGGAGGTTTGACAGCGCTCGGCGGTTGTATTTGGGGATGGGCTTTGAGATCTGCGGGCCTTTTGGGGAATATATGAATAGTGATGATAATATGTTTCTGACATTGAAATTGCGTTGAATATCTTTGATACCTTTGGAATATTTGACTAATACACTCTCATGGACATGTGTGCTTAAGTACCGGTCTTTCCAACTCCCACAGCAACAATTCATCCACATCATATACCACCTGCTTAATCACCCTGAATCCACATTTGCTCAATACCTTGCTCGAGCCCGCGTTGATCTTCTCGCAAAAGGCAAAGACTTTTTCGGTTGGTTCACTCCTGTCTACTGCAGAATTCAACTGAGGATGACGAGGTAACTTCCACCAGGCCTTTAGTAGTCCGTCCAAAGCTTCCGTCGCATACCCCTTTCCCCAGTAATCAGGATGAATGGAATACCCAGTCTCAGGGCTGGGATATACTTGATTGATACCCATGTAGCCAATGACCTGTTTGTCGGCGGGGGGTGGCTGAGCTTCATCCTCAACCCGTTCACGTTCAATGAGCACGTAAGTAAAGTGACGACCGAGCAGGCTCTCAGGGCCCGCAGTAAAGATCTTCGTGGCCATCCATTCCCGTGTTTCTTGGACAGTTCGATGAGGGGTTTTGGGGTAGCTTACGATCGTGTCAGTCTCTTGATTATGGAATGAGATCAACAAGTGGGTATATACTTCGTCCTGGCAACTTCAGGACTTGACCGGATGGCGAATAAGCCCTCTGCATCAGAATCGGCCAGAGGTCGAAGATACAGTCTATGAGTGATGATGGGTGGGAGCGGTTCTGGGATAGACACTCGGATGCTCTGCTGAGGTAGGAGGGCCATTTTGATGAAAAAGGAAATCTTTTCGATGGATTGATGGATAGGAGAGAAGAGAAGGTTGCTTTGAGTCGATTCAAATCGCAGTCTGACAATTGAAGGAAAGGGGTCAGAATAATTAGCGGGACACCAGACCAAATCCGTTCCCCGACCAATAACGATTGAAAATATTGCGTACTTGTTTCACTGACAGCGAGTTCGAATATCGGCAAAGTACCGAGAGCTGAAGATGCACAAGTGTTGCATAGAATGTTGGTGTTTTGGGACTGCACCGCTGAAAACCTTTCTTAAACAGAGGGTATCAGACATGGATTTCATCTTGCGTAGTGTCTTAAAAGACGACACGAAGTCACGAGAAAAGGAAAAAGATCAAAGAAATGAACCGCCCATAATCAGTCCGAGTCCGACAGATCCCATCAATCAGCTTCATCCATAATATCATCCTCATCCGTAACATCATCCTCATCGTCCCAAGCTTCCTCCTCATCGTCAGATCCACCGAGGACCATCTCATAGAAAATCTCCCGGATTAACTCCTGGACCGCTTGCTCGTGTCCGTCTTGAAGCGCCATCAAATCGTGCAATCGTTTCTTAGGGACCCAGCTTTCGGGGTCAAGATCCTCTTCACACTCATATAGCGCTTCGGGGAGATGCATCCTGAAGTAGGCGAGGAGCATCGTGCCAACGCCCATGACATACTCCGTAGACAAGGCGATGGTGTTTTCATCGTGTTCCAGCCTCTTCGCGAGACCAATCACATCTTTGGCCTTCAAGTAATCCACAAAATCCGCTTTTGGGAGTTCGACACCCTCCACGGCACAGTATCTGATCAGCGCGACGGTCTCATCCCAGTCCATGCTTTGCTGTTCACACAACAGGGCCAGCAGGAGGTATGTCGGGCATTCGTTGAGGTGGTTTTTACCCGACATGACTTGAGCCCACGCGTCTGCCTCGGCTTCGAGGCGTCCATAGAATGGCTTCCAGAAGGTCTTGTGCCAAGGGTCCGAGACTTTGGACGAGGGATGTTTTTCCGCATCTTCCTTGACCGTGGCCGGGAGGTACTTTTCATAACGGACATAGCTCCACATATCATGGAGATTATCGAGTTCCTCGCCCATTTTGGTCCTAGTAGCCAGATCAAAACAAAGATTCGCCGGTCCATTGGTTTGTAGTGATTGCTCGTATTCCCTAACAGATTGCATGTCGCTTTCGCGCGTCTGGCTGTCCCCAGGATAAAGACGGCGGCATGCATCTCTGTATGCATCGATGGCCTCTCTGTCTGAATCCGACATCTTCAGGTGGTAATTATTTAAGAGACAACTCGCAAATGACTCTCTCTCCTCGATCTCCTCGGGGGTGGAGTTTGAGATGTCCCCAAAGGGGCGAGGAGGGGCCAGATACCGCAGGGGGTTCATTTCGTACTGCTATGACCTGTATGATCCAGCTCGATCCGTTTGATCTCGTAAATGCCCTCTATAGGTATCGGGGTATGGAGGAACAGCTGAAATGAGATTTCCACGATACCAGTGGAGATTCCATGATATCCACGGGAAAAATTTCTTCGCGGCCCCGCGCCAAGACGGCACTTTGTATAAGCCACAGAAATCTCCACATTCCTAACCCTAAATCAAAACAAAGATCTATGAGTAGTACGGCGAACATCGAATGTGAGCATTGACAGGGGAATATGTACGTCCCATAGAGGGCCTTCTTTCCAAAGGTGGTAGAAAGATACCCGCTCAATGTAGCGCCACGTATGCTGACAGATTGTTGTGAGTAGCTTTGAAGATGCATACCTCTTGATCAAACTATATCGATATGACCGACATGGACCATGAGTCTATAAGACTCAGCCGGTATAAGGTTTGGAACTGCCGTGAATTCCGAGAATTTTGGGCTTCCGCTGCAGCCGGAACATAGAGGATATTGAATGCTTGTTTATCAGATGACGGGTCATGTCAGGGGTTGCCAAGATCGAATTTTGAATCAGATTCGGTCAGAAATATGACAGAAGCAGCGCCATAAATGACGTTAGAACAGGGTTCATGCTAGGCTAAGCCGAGTTATCCAACCACGATGAAGAAATCCCCAAAGGACAAGTGTACAGGTAACAGATCTGAAATCATGTTGATGGGGTTCCTGCGCAAGTTTCGCTTCTCGCGTCTCTGTTCAAATCCGACCTCTAGACTCTGTATTTGTTACATCGTATGGTGTTTCAAGCAGACTTTTCGCGTTGCTACACCGTAGTCATGATAAGCTTTCGGCAGGATTTCATAGCGGATGATGCTTGAGATCACGCACGCCTTCTCGAGTTTAGGCGAGCCGAGCTACGTAGAGTCTGAATGATTCTTCAACCGATGATTATTTGATTTTCTTGCTTGTGAACAGAAAACCAGCGACAACAGCCAAAAAAGCAAACAAAAGGCTAGAGCGGGACCAGTCGTATATACATCAAACTGGGTACAAATGACGCCATAGCGTGGTGTGATTTACCATTTCGGCTTGTCCAGTAGATACAGAGAATGGTATATTCTGCGCTTTCCCTCCTCGTTAGCCTCATTGCGCTATCAGACGCAAGACGAGTGCCTTGTGGCATGCGTTGGAATATTCTTAACATGTGGAACTGATATTAAGTAGCTTCATCTTTGCACTTGCATGCCATATGCAACGTGCTGGGCAGATATGTGATCGATGATTTTGTAGGACCACCTCCCCCAAAATATCAAGTCCCATATGCCCTTATCACATCCGCCATGGCCCTCACTGAAGCGCAAATTCGCACCTTGACTACGGTCGAGCGTGTCGCTTCGATTCTCTCCATCCTGGGAGTTATCACGATCATCGGCACATTTGCCTTTTCACGGCATTTTCGCAATCCAATGCACCGTCTGATCTTCATCAATGCGTTTTATAATTTGTTTGACTTTATTGCGACGATGATCGCGACAAGCGGGCCCGCGGCAGGCAACAGCTCGCCCTTGTGTCAGTTTCAGGGCTTTTGTCTCCAGATGTGTGTCCCGATAAGCTATTCTATCATTTGATCGACGCCTGATGGATAAAGGAACGCTCTGACTTTAAACAGGTTTCCTATGGCAGATGTCCTCTGGACACTGGCGATGGCCTGCGACGTCTTCCTGGTAGTCTACTATCAATTCAATGTGCAGGCGTTGCGCAAGCTTGAGATATGGTATATTGCTATCATCACATCCATTGTATCTATTCCGGCGATCATCTTTTTATTCATCCATAGCCCGGACAAAGGGCCCATGTATGGTGGCGTAACTGTAAGTAGTATTCGTCTCTTCTTCTATTCCACTGATATTAACGATCACAGCTCTGGTGTTCGATATCTCCCAATTGGGTCGTCTTCCGAATCGTGTTCTACTACGGACCAATATGGTATATCTTCTCTTCTAATGGACCTATAGTTCCTGTTGGGTTAACTAACTCGGCTCTTCTTCTAGGTTTCTCATCCTGAGCGTGTTACTTTTCTACATCCTCGTCGGTATCAAAGTAATCAAACTGCGGCACCAGTTCAATCTCTCCCGTACAGACCACATCGCTCTGTCTTCCAACATTTCCACCAGCAACCACGCCCTTGACCAGCACAAAAACACCGTCGCTGTCACTGTCCAAATCGACATTCAGTCCCACCCCGCCTCCCATGTCTATCCCTCCTCAACCGAACAGAACCCCCACTCATCCCGCGGGGACTCATCCTCCCACAACGCGCCCCTAGATCATAAACGATCCAAGCATTCCAACGTATCTTTCAGACAATACATCCTCATGCCAATGGTGTTCTTTCTTGTCCTGCTGGCCACATGGGTTGCACCCACGATCAATCGGTTATCCGCCCTCGTAAACCCGAACCATGTTTCGTATCCGTTGCTGCTGGCTGTCGGAGCAATGGGATCGCTGCGAGGGTTTTGGAACGGGGTGGTCTTTATCACACTGGGAATGAAGGGCTGGAAGAGGGAGATGAAGCTGAGGTTGGTTGAAGCTTGACTTTGTCACGCTTATGGCAGGCCAGGTTGTTTTCATGTACTTATTTCTTTCATAGTGTATATATCGTATAGTATAGTCTCAACCACAAACATAATAGGAAGATCATTCCCGGATGAGTCAAAACACGTCATACTCAGCTGGGCGTCTTTAGCAAGTAGTCGGGAAGAACATACTTAATTCGCGATGTTTCACCCTAGTTGAAGCGCCCTGATGGTGATGCAGGGAAGATCAGCCCAAACAGCCAAGGTATGTTCGAGACCGAATTGAACATGTTGACTTGCCCTGGAAGCAACTACAATATCGCAGGCTTCACTCAGCGGTCCGGTATGGCCTCACGCAAGCGCTCATTGCAGCCACCGCACTGGCTCAGCGCCGTACCATTGCCGAGGTGATATGTCGCGAGTGGAGTCTCGGCTCAACTGCAGATCATCCCATCGATATTCTCGCATCCTGCCACCGCAATGACACGCTCCAGCTGGACCGAATGATCATGAAAAAGGCTTCGATGCTCCCCCACGCCTCGTTTGTGCATGTCTCCGATATGGGTCCTCAGGGTACACTGTTGATGGACTACGTGAACACCGTCACTCGTCGGATCCAAGAACGCGCTCCACCAGGCTACCACCCCCGTCTTCATTTCGCTACGGTCCTAGGAGACATTTCCGGAGACACCAGGCTGGCTGATTTTCTAGGCCAGGTGAGCGCGCACGACCCTACGTCCTCCTCAGATTGCGTCCTCCAACTGCGCAGACACTGGGCACTGTCGTTCTGGAACGAATTCAGTAGCAGCCTCACTCGGCTGAATAATCCATCCTGTACAAATATAGTCCAGGTGGATATGAAGCAAGATTCAAACTTCCATTCAAATATCTGAGGAAGAGGAAAGGGGGAAATTAAATTGAGGGCGGGTGGAGGGAAAAAGGAAAACAAAAAATTCGTCCCCGGGAAGGCTCGAACTTCCAACCTCCTGATTAACAGTCAGACGCGCTAACCAATTGCGCCACGGAGACTTGTTTGTTGAATAAACGGTTATCTGATTGATTACTATACCAATTAAATTTATAATACGTCAAAATCCGTTGTCAACTCATTAAGGTTCCCAAAGAGAACTGTGTAAGGGTAAAGGGCAAATATCATCGGGACTAGACATACAACAGCTATTCACGGGCCCATGGCTGGACAGAATGAGCGAATATCCATTCGAACCAGTTGTTGTGGGAGCGGTCCTGAACACCTGGAGCACGCATTATCTGAAACATATATTTACTCGTACCCTCGTCTAGGGCATTTGAGGGTAACTACTATTATACACTGTATTCTGCACCCATCTGTCCTGTTCATGTCCATGCCAGGCCTGTAATATTCCGCATGAAATGCCTGTTATTTTACTGCCGAAAGGTCGACTGAGCCAGGTAGCACTTGGACACCACTTCAGTTCCATGCGGATGAGTATATCTCTAGTCCTCCACTCACCCGTCCTCTCATCCCAAGTTGGATTACTGTTCCGGATTTTCAATGAGAGAATACTCGTTTGACTGGCACTCGACGCGAGACATACTTCACACACCAAAACTCGAAGTCAGTGGCGAGATTTTGCTTCACACACATGTCTGGCATAGATATGTCCACTGTCGAGGACAAACTGAGAGCCTTTGAGTTCGCAGATTTGAGGTCGATTTTAGTTGAGAAAAAATCAGAGGGCTTAGAGACAGGTTGCACTCAGTCCTCAATCTCAAACTATTGGGTGTATCATGTATGCGTATATATATGTAGCTATGCCGTGCAGACTATGCTACTTTATACCAACCTATCACAGATCTAATTAGTCCAAATACTCAGCGAGCACTAGATATTTTAACTGGGCTATCTTTAAATATATATAGTAGGCTATCTGGTAATGGCCCGCCATGGCTACCGTTGCTTATCACCATTCCAGTGCCCCTGAAAGCGTCAAACTTATACTAGGTCAGTGGAATATTGTGCAGCGTTGTGTTCTATAAATAGCCATTCAAACTGATATCGACGACTGACTAACAATCTAAAGTTGTTGCTCATCTGGATGCATTATTTCCTTTTCTGTGTCTGATCAAGCTCTCCAAGCCATCGAAAAGCACGAGTGATCTCCACAACACTTTGGTATACATAATCTGTGAAACATCAGTAATCGATAAGATACTGCAGGGATAAAGTCCAGGGTTGACGAACAGGAGCCAATCGCAAGCCAAATAAAGTTCATGAAAAAGTAGTAGAACCAAAAGTAGTAGCCCTCAGGCCGGCAGAACGACCCTCCATGGAAATAGAGGTCGAACAAGCTCGTGGCGTAGTAAAGGACATCTCCGTAGACCTGTCCCACTGACATAAGGAGCTGGAGGGCATGACGGAGGGGGTGTTGGACCGCGATGCAATATACGATGAAGAACGCGAGGGGGCCCCAGCAGAACTATGGGGAACTTAGTGATGAACTGGCTGACTTTGGTGATCTCAGAACATACCATCGTGACTGCCTCCATCGAGACGATGAATGCGTCTGAGGTCAAGTAACGCGAGTCAGAGAGGGAGTATTCCTTCCATAGCTGGCCGAATAGGTCCTGGGAGCCGGCGAGGGATTCATGGTGGACCACAAAGTATGCTTCAAAGAACAGATGAATGAATCCCGCTATTTATTTCCGTATTCGTCAGCACCGATTCAATACCTATTCAACTAGGATAACATACTTAAGCACATCCATATAAAAGCCAGTCGGTCTGACCGACTGGCGGTAGGTCGCACTCGCTGAATGACGATAAAGGCTATCCCAAGTACAGCGGCCCAGAGGAAGCCAAATTGAGCAATCAATGACAAGACTGACATTTCGTTGGCTGCATAATGCGGCAGATGAAGAGTAGGCGGGTAATAATTATGAGGAATCATTTTTGTCATATTTGAGTCGTACATTGTCTCAAGCTAGTGCAATGTTGTAAAATGACTAGGGTAAACTGTACTCCGATCGACTCTGCAACTACCATCCAAATAACACCCGTGGGTTGTTTAAATAACAGAACTGAACTTGGACCTCATCTGCAATCKCTGTCCGCGGAGCCCGAGTCTTCGGCTCGGACGAGAGCCTACCTGATCAGACCACCCAAGCGGGAGCTAGAAGAGGCTTGGCCCGCAAGGGCCGCAAGGGAGATAGTGTATCTGGTTAGTATAGTGTGCCCCTTTTCACCACCAATGCTTAAAACGACAGATCTTGCGGGGAGCCTCTTTGGACCCGTTCAATTTACTAACGCGGCTATATTATAGACCCGACAGCTATGAGCTCGCTAGCTAATATCTCTCAAGCAACATGAAGGTCCTACAAATTCGTTTTCCAAGGTGCTTCTCGAGTCCAACCAAATCACTAGATGCCTGTTCCAATTCTCATGGTGCTCTAGCCAGCAATATTATCCAACTGCTCGGCAGCCGGTCTGAGCACGTAAATATCCCCAGTCGGCGGCGGCGGCAGCTGAGGCACAACCGCCTTGGCTTTACTGTCTCCTGCATCAGCTGCAGCATGTACATTATCGGTTGCAGCGTACGGCTTAAACTCCAGTTCCTCGAATTGCCACGCGCTCTTCCCTTCCACAGCCGCCTTCAACAGGAAATTCGTCGCTCCAAACAGACTCTGTCCATCCGGCCCCTTATAACCGAGCAGGTCTACGCCGACCTTCTTGGCGACAAGCGCAAAGCGCAGGTGCGCCCCAAGGTTGAAATTGGAGTAGTGCCAGCTACGCGTCCTCGCGAGTTCCATCGGTTGGGAGCCATTAGGCCGGATCTGGACATCGATGAGAGACTTTGCCCCTTGGGATGTCTTTTCCGAGAGAGACGTGTTTCCGGTGAAGAGAGCGAGAGCCGCAATCTGCATGTTGGCAAAGGTCCCGTGGTTATTCTCTTGGCCTGCCTCTTCCTTGCCAAAGGCCGAGTTGACTAGCCAGTCGAGAAACTGGCGGTTCCAGTTCATGAACGCTCGCTGGTTTACTCTTGTCCAGCCTGGAGCATTGGTCGAGGCAAGGATGGCGGCTGCATCCAGCACGTTGGTGTATTCCATGCTGAAGTCGATGATGCCGATTGAGCGGCCGTCATTGCGGCAAGGGATGATCTGCGCGTGGCGCAGATTAGGCGTCATGGCCGTAGCGGGGTCGATGAACCATGTCTGCAGGATAAGCGAGGCATGTTTGGCGTATTTGGCCTGGCCTGTGTAGTACCATGCCAGAGATAGTATGTAGCTGGATCGAAACATCGAGTCACGTCCACTGTGGTCGGGGTATTTTTCGACTTCGGGGTTGCGCTCGCCATCCCGGTCTACGTAGGGACAGCCATCAGTGGTATTGCTGGGCCACCAGTACGGTGCTTGGGATGCGTAGTCGTGGATTGTGCCGTTTGGCGGTGGCTGCGTCCTGGAGGTCACAGTCCACGGGCCCTGGCTTAGCCAGCTATCAGCTTCGGCAGTGAGATGACCAAGAGCGGCTGTGAGCGACGAGTCGCCAGCTCGGAGGCGCAGTTTATTCTCAACGAGGCGGGCGCCGTCAATCACAACAGTCTTTGGGATGATTCCATGACGGCCGTGGCCGTTGGGAAGACTGAGGGAGCTAGAGAGTGATATGAAGAGGTTGAGACAGGAGATCTGAAAGAGCTTCATCTTAAAGGATGGCAAGGAGTAGACGAGTCGATCGGTGAATCTGAAGAACCGAGGAGTTGAGTCTCATTCCCTGGGCCTTTCTGGTGTGAAGCTCCATGCAATCTTGCGCCTGGAGCTCTATAAATGTAGCCCTACATCTGTTCCAGCTCGTAGTGTACATGCGTATGGTTGGTGGAAGAGGAGAGACTGACTGACGAAGGAAATGATACATTTTTCCACTACTTGAATTACGGCAGAGAAACTACAACTAGACACGCGTGGGGTAGGCAGCTCGAAGGCTGTTGTGCTCATCCTCGATCAGGGAAATGGAGGACAGAGAAATCTGCAATTGAGGTGTCAGATCTGCATCGGCACTTAGGGCTATTATTAGAGGTTACTGGGGCTGCCGGCATGTGCGGAGAAACCGGGGAAGCGGGGGAGAAGTGCCGACCCGAAAGGGCAATTCCTCTGCCGCAAACTTGGTGGACACTGGACAGGGAGCCATGACCCTTTCGCACAGGCTGATGCCCAGACATGGCGCAGGAGCCGTCATACCTTCTCATACGACCAATCGACCCCAATGTAACATTAGACTTGGCTAAGTGGTTCAATTGCCGCTAGTCCAACGATCGTCGGCACCAATGAGCCAATATTATTCTTATACGCAGCTAGTAGAAGCTTCGTTGATTCATATTGTCTCAGTTGGTGGAAAATATATCTTGCGGGCAAGGACATTGGTGATCATTTATTTTTTGAATAGTGTCATAAAGTAATCAGATCTGTACGCTCTTTCTTATTGACGTAAATGAGATAATCCAGTGTTGTCCCACCTGTCATATATCTCCCGTGTCAGGTTTCGGTGCCGCTGAGGAACGATGATCCCTCCCAGAATGGTGGTGCGCTATGAAAGCATCCTTTAATTAAACTAGTGTCGTATGACGTTGAGTTGTAGACATTTGGACCCTGAAACGGCTGGACGAGTCTCGAGGATAGAGATATACTGGCTATGCGTTAATTATTTAAACCCTCTATATGACCCGACTCTTTGAGAAGGAATATATCCAGCACCACAGTCATCAATTGTCTTTTCTCAACGACTTCCTGAGATCCATCCTCGCTGCTTGTCTCCTTGATATAAACACCATGGCGATCAAGAACCTCCTACCTATCGCTCTCTTGGCCCTTGTCCACTTTTCACCCTTGGCCATGGCACAAGGCTCAGCTTGCGCTCCTGGCGGCACTTTTGATCTATCCAAGTGGAAACTACAGCTCCCAACTGGCAAGACTGGCTCGCCAGACGAGGTCTCTGCGTCCGAGCTCAAGGGCTGCAATGGCTACAAGTCCGAATACTTCTTTACCAGCCCTGATGATGGCTCTATTGTCATGAAGGTCCCAGGCTCTCCGTCAACCTCCAGCTGTGTCACGACCGCAAACAGCGAACACTGCCGCACAGAGCTTCGTGAGAACAGCCCGTCTAAGTGGAGTCCTTCTGCTTCTAAGAACCGGCTGTTTGGCGACTTGATCGTGAAACAAATCAACGACGACCGAGTTGTGGTCGGCCAGATCCATATCGATGGCTCCATCTCCACGAAGCCTGTTTGCGAGCTTTACTATAGTTCCAAAGGTGATCTGACGATGGGTGTCAACCGTTGCCGCACTTGCGGGCAGAATACATTCACTGTCGGCCACGTCCCTGTAGGCCAGAGATTCACCTATGAAATCCGGTACGAGAGCAGTATTCTATCCGTTAGCCTCAATGGCCAGGCTTTCCAGAAACTCGACACGTTTAACCTGGAGAACCCGGATAGCTACTTCAAGGCCGGCAACTATAACCAGGGCAATGGTCCCACGGAGGTTCACTTCTTTGCAATTCGCGTTACTCACTGAGCGTCGATGTCAGCAATAGCTGGGCTTCTCAACTGCGACACCCGAATTGCCTGGGAAAATTATTTCGGCACAACAGACAAATAGTCCTTCGTGTCATTGCCTGGAACTGGTTCAGGACTACTGCAAAGCATGTCAAGATTGATATTATGTCAAATAGCTGGTTAGCAAGGTTTCGTGTTTCTAGCTATCATTAAGATCTTGGTATTGTTGGTTCTCCTCTAAACTCAATTGAATATGATTCCGAATTACGGAACATACTGTAGAGACTGACACTTTGCAAAGAGAGCCTGGGGAAGCAGGAGGCCCCAATAAACAGCCAGAACTCGCTGGCGCTGTATTGCACGCCGTCCATCCAGGTCAATGAATTTGAGTCCTGTTTGATGACCAGAGAACAATCGCTTCCTACAAGCGTGCGGCCGCTGCAACCGACCTACGTGGGGAAATGTTGCGCAATGCGTCTGAGAGCCTGGGACATTTCAACCGGGCATTAGCCAGCATCGGACAGAAGTTCCTTGCACACCGGGACTCGTCCTTCCACCAGTATGACTGGCCGGGGCTCCTGACAGCCTTTGTATACGAGCCATTGGACCCAGCCTCGGACTCCTTCCAGCCGGAGTTCCTCATCCGTGCCGTCCAGTCGACCTACAGAGCAATCTTCAGTAGCTACCTTACACTCGCCCGCGATATATACTTCGACCGTTACCAGTCCCCTGCTACCCCCGCGGTGGATGGAACCATCATCACGAAGACCTGGGACATGACGCCCTCAACACCCTCGATGGTCATCATCATCGTCCTCCTGTCCATTGATTTCTCGGCCCTGGTCCTCGTATTCGCCCTCCGTCATAACCGCTTCAATGGGCCGCGTATTCCGAAATCGGTTGGGTCACTGATTCCGTGGGTCGCACGGAGCAGGATTGCGCCTGACTTCCGGGGAACGTCGCGGATGACGGACAGCGAGCGGCGGGATTATCTCGTGCGAAAGAGCCACAAATACACTTTTGTTCTGTCTTTATGCCCGGATGGTGAATAACGGTGGCTGTTGGATTACGACAGCCGCTACTTGAAGGAAGAGGACCATGAGCTGGACGAGATACGTGAGACGGGGATGATATCACGTCGTTGTCAGAGCGGAGATCCTACCTAGATGAAGACCGCTTTGTTGTCCTCTACCATGCTACGCTTTCTAGAATGGGGCTTGAGCAAGGCATCTTGCAGGTCATTTATATTAACATTAATAAGGCTATAAGGATTCGCATCTGCTCTGCTCGCATATCTCAAGCTATTATCAGCTAACGAATAGCTGCGTTTGTGGGTGGTATCTTAGACAAAGCAATGTGCGAGCAAGACTGGGGATGGAGCCGAGCGGGCATATTCAAGCCATCGAGTAAGCCTGGAAACCTTGTGTATCCGGGTCAATAGGCCAGTCCACTCACAGATATGGCACTAGCCAAGATCGATAATCCAATGAGCTACTACCCACCATAGATCCGAGAAGGGTCCAGACTTCTAGTATTTGCGCCCTAATAATGACCCGTGATGTGAAGGTCTGGTGCTAGAGCTAGGTTAAACTCCAAGGGGCCATTTGTTTCTGTTGAAGTTACCAGCGCTTGCCTGAACATGCTCATTGGTGGTTGATCGATATGACTGCTAGGATCACTTCCAGCCTCACCAATGATACCCAATTGACTGTCTGCCACCCAGACCACTCAGATTCTGGCCGTGCAAAGTACGACAAGGATGTGATAGGTGCCCAACAGTCACGTGTGGAACTCCGCCTCGAGAGTCAAAGACTCAAAATACTGGTGCGGCTGAATGGTGAGAATAAAGTGGTAGACATCGAAGAACTACCTGTCAGAGGGGTGCACAGTGAACTCCCTGTACTAAAAGCAGTTTATGGCGAGCTCTTAAAGCGATGGCGACTCTAGCGCGGTCCCCCTTCACCAATGAAGAATACACAGTTGGATGGATCTGCGCTCTGGCGGTCGAGCTAGCGGCTGCAAAGGGTATGATGGATGAGGTACATGGGGAGCCACAAACTCCACCAGCTGAGGCGGACAACAACTCGTACATCTTGGGATCCATGGGAAGGTTCAAGGTCGTCGCGGCCCGTCTACCTATACACCAACTCGGTTCCTCCTCCGCAACAGCAGTTGCCAAAGAGATGCTCTTTACGTTTCCGAGAATTCGTGTCGGACTGCTTGTTGGTATTGGCGCAGGTATACCCGACTACGACAATGATGTCGATATCCGCCTGGGGGACGTCGTCATAAGCAGCAGCCCCCAAACTGGAGGAGTCGTTGTCTATGACTTTGGAAAAGCACTTGCAGATGGGTCCTTCGAGAGCCTTTCTGTATTGAACAGCCCTCCAAGGTCCTTGGGCTCTGCCCTTGGAAAGCTCCAAACGGAGCACCTGATGCAAGAGAACAAGATAGCGTACTATATCGAGCAAAAGCTGGAGAGATTTCCGCTTATGCGCAGCAAGGGATACTCTCATCCTGGTCATTCGGCTGATCGCTTGTTTCAACCCAGCTATCTCCATGCTGCCGGCAAATCCTGCGCCAAATGTGAACCGTCAGCAGAGATTAGCCGCGAACCACGACTGGACGACAGCCCAGTGATCCATTATGGAACCATCGCGTCCGGTAATATGGTCATCAAAGACGCGATTAAACGAGACTTGATTCGGGACAGACATGGTGCGATATGCCTAGAGATGGAGGCAGCAGGTTTGATGAATAATTTTCCTTGTGTTGTCATCCGTGGGATCTCAGATTACGCCGATTCCCATAAGAATGACCGCTGGCCGCCATTTGCCGCTGCTACAGCCGCTGCTTGCGCGAAAGAGTTTCTGGAACATGTACAGCCCAAGGCTATTGAGGCCGAACCTGCAGTTAAAGATATCCTGTATCAAGGTCTGTGTTACTTCCCAGCTAAAACATGAATTCCACGGATGAGCCCTCATATCTGACGTGTAAGATCACGATAAATCTAGTCCATGACGATGTCGCAGAAATCAAGAAATTTGTCATGACCGAACATTCTCAACGTATTCTCGACTGGATCACTGAGTTAGACTTTGACCGTCAACATAACGACAACCTAAAGTCAATGTTAGAAGGAACAGGTCTCTGGCTTCTAGAATCGGAGGAATTCGATCAGTGGATCAGCCAACCTCAACAAACACTGTTCTGCCCCGGAATCCCAGGAGCTGGGAAGACAATCATGTCCTCAATTGTAGTAGAACACCTAAGAACAAAGTTCTTGGGTGACCCAGAGGTGCAGGTTGCGTGCATGTTTTGCAGTTATCAATCAAGCTTCCGGCAGACTACACTCGATTTCTTACGAAGTCTTCTCAGACAACTTGCAACCAAAGGCTCAACCATCCTGCCGAACATTGAACAGATATACAAAAGTCACAGCGGCAATAAAACACGCCCGAGTGCCAAGGAGTTTCAGTCCGAGCTATCACGAACCGCGCAGTCATTCCGGAGCATCTTCGTTGTGATCGATGCCTTGGATGAGTACTGTTCTTCAAACCCAGAAGAGTTGCAAGACTTACTTTCAGCCTTATTCACCTTTCAGAAAGAGGGACCGGTAAATATTCTCGCAACTTCTCGTCCAAACTCAGAGATTATGTCACAGTTCGAGGGATGCATCCAAAGGGAAATCCGGGCGCAAGACGACGATATCTTAAGATATGTAAACACAACGCTGCCTACCTTACTTCGGTCAAAGATCTCGCTGTATCCCAATGTTCAAGATGACGTTCGTCGTGAGGTTGTGAAGAGCGCAGATGGGATGTAAGCTACTAATTAGACCCCTGGCCCATAGATATTTTATCTGACCGCAACCGAACTTTGATCTAGGTTCCTACTTGCCACATTACACATGGACCACTTGAAGGGATATCTTACTGTGGGTGACCTCGAAGAAGCTCTCAATCACTTGCCCCGTGGGAGGACCGGACTCGGGAAAGCATATGATCACGCAATCGATAGAATTAAATCTCAATCGGAACCGTGCTGCCAAATGGCAATGAGGGTTCTGTCTTGGTTGACTTACTGCAAGCGAGCACTCTTTGCCGAGGAGCTTCAACATGCGCTTGGGACTCGGTCTGGCCAAACAACTTTGAACCGCAAGTTCTTGCCGGATATTGACATTATTGATTCAGTCTGCTCGGGCTTGGTTGTTTTCGATCGAAATACCGGACTAATTCGCTTGGTTCACTACACAACGAAAGAGTATCTCTTGGGGCACCCTTCCTTTCGCAATTCAGAAGCAGAAATTGCCCAGACATCCATCACATATCTTTCCTTCGTGGCTTTCTCCAGTGGACGCTGTACAAGCCGTATTGCTTATGACCACCGGCAAGAACTTTACCCTCTTCATCATTACTGCGCGAAGTATTGGGCGGCACATGCCTCAGCGGCTCTGGATACATCGAAAGAATTAATGACGCCTATCCTTGCATTTTTAGAGAAGGAATCAAATGTCCATGCGGCTTGTCAAGCCATGATGACCCATTCTCTCCTAGGTGATAGACCGGGTTGGGCAGATTGGGTTGAATTTTTCCCGCATCGATTGACGGAGTATCGGTTGACAAAGGTACATCTCGCAGCTCATGGTGGTTTAAGAAGCATCATTGCCGAGTATATACGTCAAAATCAGGACGTGGACATTCGAGATTCCAAAGGCAGAACGCCGCTTGCCTATGCTACTAAAGCCGGCCATCTTGACACTACCAGAGTCCTTCTCGAATCAAAGAGTGTCAATCCTAACTCGGAGGATGTGGACGGCCGAACACCTCTATTACACGCAGCTTCTGGGGGATGTAAAGACGTGGTCCAGCTTCTCATCCAATACGGGGCATGGCGAAATCCTACGGATAAATTTGGTTACAATCCGTTATGTGCTGCTGCTTGGTCTGTGGATATTGAGACAATGCGACTTCTACTTGATCACGGTGCTCAAATCAATCAACAGTGCCCGTCTGATTGTGAAGACGATGGTACTCCTCTAATGAACGCCCGGTGTTCAGGAAATAAGGAAGCTGTCTTATTTCTCCTGGAAAGGGGAGCGGATCCCGACTTCCCTAATAAAGGCGGGGAGACGATTCTATCAGCAGCAGCACGCAACAATGATGAAAAGCTAGTAAAGCTACTTCTTGAAAGAGGAGTCCACGTTGACCCCAAAGGCAAATTAGGCGCCACTCCCCTTGCATACGCGGTTGAGAGAGGGTTTCTCGGGATAACAAAGCAGCTTATCAAGGCTGGCGCTGATGTCAATATGCGGAATTATCATGGGCAGAGCGTCCTCATGAGGGTATGCCAATCCGGCCACTCGGACAAAGGCCACGAGGTAATCGGCTACGAGTTCCTCCACGGCGCTAATCCCAACATACAGGACATTTGGATTATCGCACAACTTTTGCTTCAACATGGTGCTGACCCAAACACTACAGAGAGTGACCAAACACCGCTTTTTTTCGCTGTGGTGGGGGGACATGATAGCATCGTCAAGCTACTGCTTGATTACGGTGCCAGACCAGACCACCAAGACGAATTGGGACAAAGACCCATCTTATGGGCGGCTAGACAAAGATTTGAGGCGATTGTGAAAATGCTTATTGACCAGGGTGCAAATGTGAATTGTTCCGACGATTCAAATCAATCACCGCTGCTTTGGGCTCTTGGACAAGGCACGATGGAGGTTAAGGAAAAGATTGGAAGAGGGAGAAGACGTAGGGTGCGGCGTGCTGGTCCAGTTGGCGACATAGAGGCAGTGGTGAGATTGTTGCTTCATAATGGCGCAGATCCAAACACCACTGATAACAAGGGGCGAGGACCTATAGCCTTGTCGGCGGAATGCCATTATGTCTCAAAATCCCTTGTGAAGCTGCTTCTGAAGGCAGGAAGTGATCCTAATAAAAAGGATATGTATGGCCGCACGCCCTTAATGGCCGCCACAGTCCGCGGAGAGGGAAATATTGTGGCAGCACTACTCGAGGCTCCAGATATTGACCGAGATGCAACTGATGTGTTTGGCCGTACAGCACTCATGGAAGCCACTGCAAGAAACCAACGCCGCATTACAAAGCTTTTATCACAAGACCACGGGGACGATCTCGCCTGGGATTCTTTCAATGCTAGTGATAAATTTGGGCTTCGTGGCGACGTAAACTGTGATATATGTGGAGCCTCAACTTTCCGCGAATCTGCGTACATGATAAGCGACGGTGAGGATTCTGATATCTGTTTTGATATCTGCGAGCAGTGCAGGAGATTTGGCGCAACATGCTTGGATGACACACGCCGGTTGGCAAAACGACAGAAAAGATGAAGTCGGCATCGCCCAGGAATTAGGGAATCGGTGGCGGAAATAGAGCGTCTGCTAAAGTGAGTCAAATTAGAATGATATCAGGGCCCCGATGTGCAACCTACTTGAGTAATAGATTGCGCTTACTATAATCGGTGCTGAAGAATCTAACTATATCTGAGTTGGTCATGGGAAAGAAATATGTATCTGTCCTTTACAGTTCGTTACGATGTAAGTCTCGAGGAGAACTGGGATACTCTACTTGCATTGTTGGTACCTATCTTCTGAAGCAAAACTTCTCTATTACTATACTAAAGCGTAGGGGCTCGCCATATGGACTGTACAATGATTCCATGTGACCTCATCATGATTGGCTCTAAGCGATAGGACCATAAAAGCTAAACTTGCCTGCCGGGTCATACTTCTTCTTCAAGGCCTGCAGGCGATCCTGGCGCCACTGTTCACTCCCGTACCACTGCCGCGGCGTCTCATCCCCATAGGCATAGTTGACATACGCGCCAATCTCCTTCAGCCCACTAGCTTGGAAGAGGATCTGACGAAGTTGGTTACCCAGCTGCGCGGCAGCACTGTCGCGGTCCGGCCCGGCGGGCGCGTAGGTGATGAGTGGGGCGGCGAGGAGGTTCTCGTTCCGGAAGGCAAAGGCACTGGACTTGCTGTTGATAGCCCGGACACCTTGCATGGAGTATCCCTCGAACATGAAGATGGAGTTGTTGAACGCCGAGGACCCGCGGGTGGCGGCGGCGAAGATGTCGTATGCCTGCTTCTGGGCGGGGACGTTGTACCCTTGGAGATAGATGGGGAAACGGGGGTTGACGAGGCCGGCCTTTTGGCATGGCGGCGAGGTCGTGGCGATGCCGGTCCATCCGGCGAGATCGGTGTAGCTTCCTCCGATAGATTCGGCGGACAACGGGCCGATGTCGTGGAAGGGCTTAGTGTAGGCTGGGTCGACTGTGTTTACTCCTTCCTGGATGATGTAGAATAGGATGACGGGCTAGGGGTTGTGAGACAAGGCAACAACTTTTGGATAGGGTATATACTTACGTTGTTCGGGTCAGCGGTGGGGATGTTGAGCCAGTACGACCAGTTGATGAGATCCACAGGCTGAGTGCCGTTCTTGAGGAGGTGCTCGTTGGCGGCCTGGTAGACGGCCTCAACTTTATCGCCGCTGAAGATGAGCGTGTCGATTGCCCAGTCGGCGTGCTGGATATCGTAGATCTTGGTGGTCACAGAGGTCACAATGCCGAAGTTGTGACCTGCTCCGTTGAGAGCCCACCAGAGGTCGGATCTTGCGTCGATCGTCTTCAAGCTGCCGTTGGCCAGGACAATATTGGCTGAGACAAACTGATCTGCAACCAGTCCGTGGTGTCCCTGAAGCCATCCATGTCCACCTCCAAGGGCAGGTCCCAGATAGCTGACGCATTCGCATGTTCCGGTGACCGTCTGCTTCCCCGCGGCCCAAAGCTGGTCGGTGACGGTTTTGGAGATGGTACCGCCCCCGATCTTGGCTGTTTGACCATCCTTGGAGATTTCCACGCTGCTCAACTGGTTCAGGTAGATCTCGATGCCATGATCCATCTTGCCGAGGGTGGTAATGGCTCCATGGACGCCATTGTACGCCAGAAAGGGCAAGTTTTTCTTGTTGGCGTATTTCACCTATCACCCAATTAGCAAACTATGCCCATTACCGATGGGAAAAAGAGACAGAGGGGAAGGACAACACACCGTCTCAACGACATCGTTCTCCGTCCCGGGAACCACGACAACATTGACTGTGGGAGCATCCAAAACAGACCACCGTGTGGACGCCTGTTCGAACTCGGCCGACCCAGGGAAATATATCTTGCCAGTACTCGAGAGCTTGTCTCCCAGCTCCTTCAAGTCGGCATCTCCGCGTGGACAAATGCCTCCGAGCCCATCACAGGCAACAGGCACTCTGAAGCAGGATGCGGGTATAGCCGAGGCAGCCAGGGCTGCAACAGCCTTAATTTTGAGCCAGCGCATTGGACTGGCAGCAAGAAGAAAGTTTGACTCAAGCAGAGGAAGGGAAAATGAGAAGGATTCCAGATAGAGAGAATGCACGATTGATTGGCTTCAATCGAGCGCCTAGGTTACATTAAGTACAGGGGCATGTCGCATTTTAACCCCTCGTTCGGGATGGAGTACATCCTTGGCTATTGCAGGTGGCATGAGGGCGCAGGTACCAATTAATAAGACTTCATCTATTCGGCGCAAGGGATTGGTGCACCTATCTTGATCCCTGTCGCATCCCTGCTAGGCTGCTCCTAGGCGCTGAAGAACCTAACGAGATCGGCTATCGTCGTAGACGGGATCCTGGTTACTGATCCGTGTAGCTCCGAGTCTCCGACGCCTGCCAGCATTATGTGATGGACTCGGCAATGACCACGACCGGCAGACGAGGGGGCCAAAAATATACTTTTTCTATTTTTCAGATTTCTTCTTGTTCGATAATACTCTTTCGCTTTTTTTTTTTACTCTCCTCATACATAGAAGAGCTAAGTCCGATGTTGTCAATCTAGGTTCTCGTCAACCCGCCAGTTGGCCATGCTGGCCCGAACGCTTCGTTGCTCTAATGTCGACCGATTCTGCTGCGGACAAAGCTGCCCAGGCAGCCTTGTACAAGTCCACGGTTGAAGGCTGGACGCTGTATTCAATTGGCGTTACGGTGACCCTACTCCGAACCTATTCCCGGGCGCGAGCCGTGGGGTTCAGACACCTGCAAGCCGAAGACTTTCTTGTGTGGGTTGCAATTGTTCGTGGCTCACTCTTGGATGTGTCTTAATCAGTTGCTAATGCCTATTCCGAGCAGGTATTCTACACGGCGCAGACATCTCTTGCGTACTGCGTGGGCCATGTCGCGCATGGCCTTGCGAATAATGGCTTGACCGACGCTCAACGGGCAGCCTTGTCCCCTGATGATCCAGAATACCGATTGAGGTATGTCTAGTTTCGAAGAGTACATAGGATATCATGAGAAGGAACTCACACATATACAGGGTAATTGGCTCGAAAATTCAAGTCGCCGGGTGGACTACGTATTCGGTGTTGATATGGTCGCTCAAGTTGTCCATGCTGGCATTCTACCTCCGACTTACAGTAAGCCTTCAAGGACTCCTTTTAATTGAAATTGTACTCATGCGCTCGACAGGATGGCCTTGGTAATCGGTATCGCAATCCCATCTATGTTGGGTTCGCTCTTGTCATCGGAACATTCCTCGTCAGCGTGATTACGATCTTCACGGCGTGCCGGCCATTCCAAAACTACTGGCAGATCAACCCAGATCCTGGCAGTAAGTCCTACGCCTTTGTTGCGCCCTTGTCCGATCGATCGTTCTCTGACAATTGCTCTTGTAGATACCTGCCAGGCCGCCATATCCAGGCCGATCGTCTGGGCCTCCTTTGCATCCAACGTGTCCACCGATATCTACATCATATTAATCCCCATCCCTATGCTCTGGCGATCCAGCTTGAAACTCATGAAAAAGATCGCAGCAACCATCGTCTTCGGGGCCGGATTGTTCGTTCTCGTCTGCGCGATCCTGAAGAGCGTGTTTGTCTTGGTGGTGAGTCGTGATGTCATATCGGCACCCTCCGGCCGGGAAGCTAACATCGATACCCCCGTAGGACCCCGTCCATGGCGCTCAACTGGCCGGCGAATGGGGAACACGAGAGGCCTTCGTCGCGGTGGTTACTACCAATCTTCCCATGGTCTTCCATCTCTTTCGATCCTGGCTCTCGCGCCTATTTGGCACCGCATTCGGCAGCTCCCAGAAGACGTACAAATTCCCCAGCGGGTTTCAGACGATCGGTGGCGGTGCTGGCGAGTCCTTTAGCCGAAATCGTCGGGGCCCTCCAACCGCTCATCCTATCAGCGCCAACTTGACGTTCAGCGAGAGTGAGGAACGGATAGTGGACGATGTGAAGATGAATAACTTGGAGGCGTTTAGCGCACCCGGCACTGGCCGCGAACATCCTCCCGCCGGTATTGTAGTCTCCAATCAGATTGAGATCACCCATGAGAATAGAAACAGCCATCTCGGTGGGAATGATCAGCCTCGTGGGCGGAGTTGGTGATCAAATCCATAAAAGTCAGATTAGATAGACTTGCAGTTATGAAACGATCTGTTCTCGCCAACTAGGCAAGTTCTGCAGTTTCTACTGCAACTTAATTCAATTCGATTGGACAGTTCGTAGCTAGCTCTTGAGTAACTCAGACGGTAATCAGCTAGTCGTCAGAAATACGAGCGAGAGTGTCCTTCCACCTCCGAAGGTCCGCATTCAGCCTGAGCACGATTTTCAAGGACACACAAGGAGAAAGAGAATGTCAGAGGATGCCAAAGACGTAAAGTATAATGATACGGAATCTCAAATAGCCATGTCCGATACGCTGCATATAACTAACGACGGCAGATGCGTGCTTCTTGGTGACAACCGGGTTGGCAAGTCAACACTCTTGACGCGATATGTAGCCAATCAATTCTATACCCCCGGATTTCGCGTATTCGACAACTGTGCAGTAATGGTCGGGTAGGCTGCATCTGAGACGTCAATCATCGCAGTCGCTAAGATATTCAGTGTTGATGGCCAGCCTTACAGACTGGCGCTTTGGGACACATGGAACGACGAGGAAAGGAACCGGCTACGCCGACTTTCTTATCCCAATACCGACATCTTTCTCGTTTGCTTCTCTGTCGTCAACCGAGAGTCCTTCTCCAGCGTGGAATACTACTGGTTCGATGAACTACGGAGTTGCTGCTTTGGGGTTCCGTGGCTGCTAGTTGGTACTCAGATTGACGCAAGGGACAACAATTCTAGTATAAGAGTCCAGGAAGACTGGAGACGACATGTAACGTGCCAGGAGGGTGAAAGGATGGCCAGGAAGTTAGGCGCGGCCAGATATATTGAGTGCTCTGCTCAGAATCAATTCAATGTGAAGGAGCTCTTTCAAGAGGTAGGCGGTTCTCAGATCATGACACATCCAATATATCGTTGAAGGCATTCATGAGCTGATAATACTACCTGAGATAGGCAATCCGTGTTTCGCAAGAGCCAATGACTGCTGCAAAGTAAAAGAGCACATGTGTGATAGTCTAAAGGTTTATACTCATACAATGGAAGAACCGATCGAAGTCATAGCTGTTCTATTTGTTTAATGATTTAACAATTAGTTACCACCAATCCAGGGCAACCTTCATACCTCAAAGCCAGCACAGGTGTAAGTACAGATATCAACCGTGCTGACCTTGTTTACTCCTCCACCAGACACCAAGAGGAGTATCACCCGAGACACCATAGAACCCCCGACAACTTGTCCCCAGCAGCAACAAATTGTTCTTGTAGGATTACATATCGTTGTTTCCACCAGAGATACATTTATCAAACGGCAGGCCGAGACCACAGTAGGCATTCTCGTTAAAACTGCTGACTGAGCCCAGCTTCAACCACCCGTTCCAGGTGCCGCCATGATCCAGACGCAAGCACTGGGTGCCGCAGATTGTCCCATTCTCCGCATTCCGAATGTACTCTGCGATAGCACCTTGAATAGTAGCTTCCTGCACCGTCATATCGCAGTGCTGGCCAGTTGCATAGAATGACCACTTGACATTATCGAAGGTGCTAGTCATACGTCGACAACTGTCCTGGTCCGAAATGCCCCTGATCACGCCTGCAAGTCGCAGGGATTGGATGAGACAATCTAGAAGGCCCAGACATGCCAGCGTGAGGAGTACTGTGATGAGCATAGCCTGACACACATTGATAGGAGTGCGCTTGCTAGAGGCTCGCTTTCGATGCCAGTCTAGGGCAAGCATGACGAAAACATTGATATTGGCACTGAGCATGTTATTCGGAACACAGTCTTCGCGGAAAACGTAGTACAGTAGGGCGTTGAGACCGATAAAAGTGTGTAGAATGATCGTGGAAAGATATCGCTCGCAAAAGACATGGAAGTCATTGAAGCTAGGCATCGGGGGAGACGATTTCGATGCGGTAAATGCCAGAAATGCTGGATGGGTTTCGTTTGATGATGATGCAAGGAGCTCTGAGTTGTGATGAGATCGTTCACCAAGGGACTAGGAATTCGCGGAAAGTCGAGCGAATCACGGTCGAGTGGTGAGAAGAGAATAAGAGAGTCTTGGAGAAGTCTCCGTTGCAGAGTTTGTAAGTACTAAGTCTAAGCAAGAGTGGCTATAGTGCGGTTTCCCAGTTGGGAAGTCTCGCCTGCTTAGGCAGCATCTGGCGTCAATCCATCTGCAGTTTGGCGGTATAGGGACCAAATAGTAGTTGCCTTTGCTGCATTCCGTTACCTCATGTAGCACGCAGCACCAGCTAAAGTCGGTGTCAGAGTGACGAGGCTGACACCTGCAGTGGGACCAGGATCACCAAGCCTATGTTTGAATTACTTCTAAGAGTCGCGGCTTTTCTGGTGTAGACGAGATGGCAGATATATCTCATGATCATACTCTGCACGACTCAAGAATGCACAGACCTAAAGAATCAACGGAAATAGACTTGTGCACATAGGATCAACAATAGTAATAATGGACCCTGAACATCCCAGATGGACTTATGAAAAAGTCACCATGTTCCTGACCACTACTACGAAATTCCCTTTCCAGGGATTATCTCCTCTGTATGTTCACTGGACACAGGTGGATTAGCCTGATGGACGGAGTAGAGCCGAGAGGGCAAAGAATCATGCCATGTAGGGGGGCCCACACTGTCGGGCTGCCCTCTTGAATCCCTAGAGGCTACAATGGCACTATAGTTCAGCCGATACGATGTTCAGCTTGTCTTTGATCTAAGTACAGAAAACATAATAGCTTGCAATATACCGCAGCAAGGCTCCTGGAAAAGGTATGATAGATACCATATCAATCCACTCGGTGTGACTTGGGAGCCTGTATAGCTTCTATTTTGAAGACAAACAAAGCTATACTCCTTGGATCAGTGACCCAAAGTGGCTAATATGCTTCTTCACTCCGAAAAATGATAGGAGATTTCATTATCGCTTCTTGCTCTTGAGTTCTACAGCCAAGATGACAAAGTTAAAAGTCTATCATGAACATGGAACAATTGAATAGCTAAAATACTAAAGTTTTAATGCCCAAAATGAAGACCAGTGATATGGCTGCACGTGTAGACCATCTGTGTCAGCCTTGTCCATCAGGATCCGAACGCTGATCTCTGTCCTGCAAAGCGCTGGAATGAGCACAGCCACAAAAACCACCAAATAAAGATGAATGCCCGCGACTCGAAATCATCCATCGTCAGGTTCAACACCCGACTCTGTTAAACATGTCGGCTTCCATACAGCGCATCGCAGCAGCAGCAGTGCATGCAGTAGGTGAAGCCAACCTCGCTCTAGCACATGTGAATTTCGATTTTTCCCTGGTCAAGTACGAAGTTCCCGCCGAGCTGCAGCCCATCAGGCAAAGTCTCTCCAAGGCCAGGAAACAGTCAGCTGAGGAAGGGTCCTCCCACATTCTGGCCCGAAGACTAGGCGTGTTATTTCAAGATGTCCTCCCCGAGGTACCTGCGCTGCTGGAGGCATATGGCACCCGAGTGACCGAAATCGTGCAGGAGACGACGGATACAATGGATCAGCCAAAAGGTCTCGCGGAAACCTTCTTTGGATCACATTTGGGAATTGATTACACGACGATCTGGGCCAGTGCCACGAGTGGCAGGTCTGTGCTTCGAATGCATCTTTTAGCGTGCATGCTAGCTCGGATCTGGTCACCGCAGGAAGCGACGGCCATCTGGGCTGAGCTAGTCAGTCATCGACAGATGGAGATCAAACAGCAGGCGGCCATGTCGGGAGACATCGAGGGTTATACTTTGGCGCAGGCAGCGGCATCCCACGAGATCAACCGCTTATCACTGAGCAGTTGGGACGCCAGTGCTCGTGCTTGGCTTGAAGTGGCAGATAGAGCCTGTGTCCGACAGCAAGATCAAATTAGGTTGATCGTGAATAATCTGTCGGTGGCCGTCAAGGCCGCCGGGAATCATAATGGCCGGACTTCTTCCAGCAAGGAGAATTCTTCTGATAGCGTGATCCAGAACCTCAGCTGCGCTTTGACTGCTCTTGACAAGTTAATCAGGGGAGAGCCTCAGCGGATCATTGACGGTGGAGTTCTGCTTGGCCTCACTTCCTGGCATATTTACCCAGACCTAGTAGTCCTGGGCTCGGTTACGCGAGAGATTCGTCAGAAGGATCCGTTGGTCCAAGACGGGGGGATAGTCACCATATCGATCGCTTCCCGTTCCGATTCAGACCGATCTAGGTCCCCAAACGGAGTCTACTGGTCCCTGCCCCTGGCCAGTCTTAGATACTATGGAACTGTCCAACGGGAGCGCTCGACCATGCATGACTCTAGGTTGACCGTAGCACAGCTACAGGCGCTCGTCCTGGGGGCTTCCTTGGATTCGCCTGCGCATGCATCAATCGCCGGAAAAATCTTCAAGCTACTATGGGCCATGTTTTACAGTCGCTATCAGGTGCAACTGCAAGAGAGCAGGGGCGACGCGCTGCCATTATCGGACAAGTTTGCGGATGCAATGAAAGAGAGCGTCCTCGGTTTCAAACAAAATATGAAGGTCTTGCAGCTGATATATGTCTTCATGGATGGAATAGACCTTTTATCCTCAGAGGACGAAATCCAAAGAAAAGCTGCCCTTCAGCTTCTGAAGTATGGAGCCAACTACGGAAAATCGTGGATCGGAGCTGAAGGCAATTCACCGCAATCATTCTTCGGATTAGCAAATCTGCCATCTATTCTCCATATGGTCAGCAGCCCGGAGGCCCGGGTGGAAATTTTGCGAAGGATGTGTTTAGAACACTCTCTGGATGATGCTCATCACATCATTCGTCTTCGTACAGCAGAGGATGGCTGGATATACGTATCCGTCAAGGCGACAGCGAACCGGGACATCCCTCGGAGCGGTGCGAAACGAAAGCGTAGCGAATACGAAGGAGAGGCGCCAGGTATCGACCAGCAACTTCACGTTCCGGACGGTGAGAGCTGGATTTGCTTCCCTCCCTCAGGAGATGAGAAGAGCGGCCAACATAACGTTGCCCTTGAGGAGCTCTATGCCAATATGGAACAACTTGGTGAATTGCAACCGTACGGACAAGCAGCAGAAGGATCTCCCTCAAGTCAGAGGGACTTGAGGGAGCCCCTTCTGAGTGATGCTATCTTCTACGAATTGCTGGACGACAATCCGGACTTTGGTCGGTATGTGTACTTTGACTTTGTTATGGGCGTGCACAATCTAGCGGCAGTGTACTCCAGACGGCCAGAGGGTAAAATGCCATTGCAGCAAAAGACGCCAACCACCGTTCCTCTAGACTTCCTTCACAGCTTGCTAGAGAGGAATCTTATACGTTCCGACGTTGCAGCTCGTTATCTTTATGACGACTTCGACACAGAGCGAACCTCTCATGGTTATTCTTTACTCGCACTAGGGAGAATCGTGGACTACTACAAGCGGCATCTACCACGGACTACCGTCTCAATCAACGTCATCAAGAAGCCGTTAAATTCATGGAAGTGGACGGCTTCGCTCGTCTCCGAACTTGAATTCCTGCCAATAGCGGCGTACCAACAAGCTCGTGATGGCCACGTACAAGACACAATCTACCCGAGCCCTTTGTCCCGCGAGCATGCGTTCGCAGCGATCTTGCAACTCGAATCTGGCACAGTCAACGTCGATAATACAGACCTTACCCGCGTAATGGCAATCTCGAGTGGAAACTCCCTTTTCATTGCCAAACGCCTTATTCACGACCCCATTCCTTCGATTGAGATGACCTCATGCGCCGTGGCCCACGTGGTCGGCAATGTAGGCAAGCCCGGTATCTCATTGCTAACTGCGCCACTCGAGCTGGAAATCCGAAAGCATGATCTTGAGCGATGGCGTTTCATTAATCACTATCCCTTCGATGGGGACCAGTCCGGCGGGAGATTCGAAGGCACATCCATCCATCTGTCGTTTACAGGTTTCGAAGTCCCCGTCACCCTTGAATCCTCCAGTTATCGTGAGATGGAGGCATACTACCTCGAGACAAAAGTAGCCATGAATGACGGGGGAGAATGGGTCGCCGATCTAGATATATTGCGAGGCTTAGCGGACCCGCGGCTTGAGGTTCGAGGGCTGGAGGGTAATAACTGTGTGCATGGTTCGACTTTCACCAATTTAGGACTCGACATAGTCTCTATTGATTGCTGGGAGGAAATCCTAGAGCCGCCAAACCAAATTTTAGTATTACGTTCCGGGGGTTCATGGATGGCGCGATTGGCCGCTGTGAGCATCGCATATTCCAGGGGGTATAGGTGTATATGTTTGCCGACAGATCGTCCGATTTGTTGGACCTGCGTTCTGTGTCGATTGCAGCTCGATACAGGCGAGATTATCCTGCTTGTTTACTGAACTGTCGGTAGACTCAGGACAATACTCAGGCCGAATCCGGTTGTTCATCCATCAGAATACGATTAAGGAACCAGGCGCTGGGCTACGTAACTGCAAGGCAAGGATAGAGAGAACCGCCTCTTTGGAGGTGAGTATCCAGCGTCAATGTCGCTGGAAGTATTAAGGGTGCTCCGTTGACTCATTGAGACATCGTTTCGCTCTCCGGAAACGTCTGCAGACCTTTTAATGGCTTCTGTTTCCTCGTCCATCGCGACGTGTATCCCGGATACGTGGTGACTGACGGCTTTGATTGAACCGTACGATTTTCTCACAGTCGGAGTGCCTCTTGCAGTAGTGCTCAATAACGGCGCCACTCATGGTATTCATCTACTTCGCTTGTAAGGCAGATAACCAGGAATCGCAATATTCAAAGGTTGCGGATTTATACACGGTAACTCTCCTCGTCAATCTTTGCAAGGATCGAGTCAGCCAGCTTTCCATCCTTCAATCCATAAAGATTCTGAAACGACATGATCATCGGTTTCCATTTATCAGG